GGCCCGCTGGCAGCTCCTCACCGCCCACGCTGGGAAGGCCCTGGCAGTGCCGTGCAGGGCGGAGGGCAGGCCTCCCCCTGCCATCTCCTGGGTGCTCGCCAACCAGACGCGCGTGTCCCGCTCTTCGGCGGGAAACCGCAAGGTCCGCGTGGAAGCAGATGGCACTTTAGTTCTTGAGGAGGTCACCGTTTACGACAGGGGCCTCTACACCTGCACGGCTACCAACCCAGCGGGCAGCGACACGCGGGCCGTGAAGCTGCAGGTCGTCGCGGCGCCTCCCGCCATCCTGGAGGAGAAGAGAGAACGTGTTGAAGGAGCGGCGGGGGGAAGTCTGAGACTCCCCTGCACTGTAAAAGGGAATCCTCAGCCCGCTGTCCACTGGGTGCTCTTCGATGGCACGGTGGTGAAGCCTCTGCAGGTTGCAAACGCAAAGCTGTTCCTGTTCTCCAATGGCACCCTCCAGCTCAGCAACATGGTCCCTTCTGACAGCGGGAATTACGAGTGCATAGCCACGAGCTCGACGGGCTCGGAAAGGAGGGTGGTGAGCCTGGTGGTGGAGCACAGAGATACCCTCCCAAGGATAGCTACTGCCTCCCAGGAAATGACTCAGTTGAATTTTGGGGATAAGCTGCTTCTGAACTGCACAGCAACTGGCGAGCCAAAGCCCAGGATCATCTGGAGGTTACCTTCCAAGGCAGTTGTTGACCAGTGGCACAGGTAGGAAAGCTTTTCCCTCCTCTCTAAAACATCAAACACTGGCTTCTCTAGTGCTTGTATAGGAGGCTGTTTCATCACTGAAACAATCCATGGTGAACTAAATTAATTTTTAAATGTCTGACCATGGTGAAACATCTGTGGTGATGGCTTGTTATGGTATGTCTAATAACAGACCACAACAATTGTTGTAAGTGGGCAAGGTCTTACCAAAAGCTAGACAAGTCTTCTTTCAGTAATGGAAACTGATGTTAATCATACACTGGCTGAATTTTTTGTCATTTTCTAGAAGTTACTGACAAGAGACTTGTGAAGTGGGGCTCACATGGCAGAGGCTTCTGTAGTCTCTGCCAAGTCTGTCTTTGAGGGTCTCCCCCCACAGTAACACTTCACCTTCCCTTTGGGAAAGACAGTCCCAGTTCAGAAAGTTCCTGGCAGGTTCACAAGAACTTGCAGCTGGGCTGAGGGAGCTGCAGGTCCATGTGCTGCTGCAGGGAAGGCAGCCAGAGTGCGACCACCCCGTGCCAAGTGTGACACTGCACAAGATGCAGCAGCGCTGCCCCTGGACAGGGCAAGAGCTGTGGGTCCTCTGCAGGGAGAGGAATGAGGGAGAGGGGCAGAGGAGGGGCCAGGGACCTGAGGTTCAACAGGCTCATTTGTTTCACAGAACAGTTTTTAGGAAGGCAAAGGTGGCACCAGGTGCCTGCTCGGAGTCAGGAAGCACGTGTACATCCGTGTAACAACAAACCAGCAGCTACACCAGGTCGCAGCCTGTCTGGAGGTGCTGGGGACACAGCTCTGCGTCCCATCGTGCTGTTCACGCTGTCAGTCGCTCAGAGTTCACCTCCAGCATTTTGGGCCATAATTCTCTTCCTTTTTCTCCCCACCACAGAATGGGAAGTCGAATCCACGTCTACCCCAACGGCTCCTTGGTTATTGAGGCAGTTACGGAGAAGGACGCAGGTGACTATTTGTGCGTTGCCAGAAACATAATTGGTGACGACCTGATTCTGATGAAAGTCAGCATCACAATGAAGCCAGCCAGGATTGACCAGAAGCAGTACTTCAAGAAACTGGTGCCATACGGAAAAGATTTCACAGTGGACTGCAAGGCCTCAGGGTCACCCACACCAGAAATATCCTGGAGTTTGCCAGACGGGACGGTGATCAATAATGCCATGCTGGCGGATGACAGCGGCCGCAGGACCCGCAGGTACGTCCTCTTTGACAATGGAACACTGTATCTCAACAAAGCTGGAGTCACAGAAGGAGGAGATTACACCTGCTACGCTCAAAACACACTGGGCAGAGATGAAATGAAGGTACACATCACAGTCGTCATGGCAGCCCCGCAGATAAAGCACAGTTACAAGACATACGTTCATGTGAAAGCTGGAGATACAGCACTATTGGACTGTGAAGCTGCTGGAGAACCCAAGCCCAAAATATTCTGGTTGCTGCCTTCCAGTGACATGATCTCCTCGTCAACAGCCAGACACCTCCTGCACGTCAATGGCTCACTGTCAGTCAGGCAAGTCAAGCTGTTGGATGCTGGGGACTATATGTGTGTTGCTCGTAATCCTGGAGGGGACGACACGAAACTGTATAAACTGAATGTTGCTGCTAAACCACCCATCATAAACGGTTTGCATGCAAACAAAACCATCATGAAAGTGACAGCAGTGAGGCACTCAAAGAAACACCTCGACTGCCGGGCAGAAGGGACACCCTCCCCACAGATTATGTGGATCATGCCTGATAATATTTTCCTCACAGCTCCGTATTACGGGAGCAGGATTGTAGTGCACCAAAACGGGACACTTGAGATCCGGAACTTAAGGCCTTCTGACACAGCAGATTTCATCTGCGTGGCACGTAATGAAGGGGGAGAGAGCACGTTGGTGGTGCAGCTGGAGGTGCTAGAAATGCTCAGGCGACCCATGTTTAAAAATCCATTCAATGAAAGAATAATAGCAAAACCTGGAAAAACCATCACATTGAATTGTTCTGTGGATGGAAACCCTCCACCTGACATAAGCTGGATGTTGCCTAATGGCACTTGGTTTTCCAGAGGCATCAAGACTCCCCAGTTTCTCACAGGAGGCAGCGGTACCCTGACCATCTACAGCCCCGACAGGGACAGCGCAGGGAAGTACCGCTGTGCTGCCAGGAACAGCGTCGGCTACATTGAAAAGCTGATCATCTTGGAGGTTGCCCAGAAGCCCAATATTCTCACCCACCCAGCTGGGCCAGTGAAGGGCATCAGCGGGGAGCCCCTGTCCCTGCACTGCCTGTCAGACGGGAGCCCCAGGCCCCACACAGCCTGGACCCTGCCGGGGGGACGCGTGCTGCACCAGCCGCAGCTCAGCGGGAGGTACCTGCTGCTGGAGAACGGCACCTTGGTCATACGAGAAGCCACCGTTCACGACAGAGGACATTACGTGTGCAAGGCCCACAATGATGCCGGAGACTCCTCTGTAACTGTTCCTGTGGTCATTGTAGCCTACCCCCCGAGGATCACCAGCAGACCTCCGCGGAGCCTTCACACCATGCCTGGGGCAGCAGTTCAGCTCCACTGCGCAGCACTGGGAATACCAAAACCAGAAATTACCTGGGAATTACCTGACCACTCCATACTCTCTACGAGTCAGCAAGGCCGAGCACTGGGGAGTGAGCTGCTTCACCCCCATGGGACGTTGCTCCTCCAGAACCCCCGACCCGCTCATTCTGGTGCGTACAAGTGCACAGCGAGGAACCCTCTCGGCAGCGATTTCACAGTCACGTACCTGCACGTCATTTGAGAAGAAGAAATAACAGCGTGAGTGGCTCTTCACAAAGGCTACAGCTGGACTGAGTTCGTTCTTGGAGTAAGTGTATTCAAAAGCAGCCACAGGCATGTAAGTACCTAAATACATCCTCAGTCTTCAGCCTGCAGCAACCGTGCAAAAAAAAGGAGAGGGAAGGCCTGGGGAAAATTAGATCTAGAGTTATTATTCAGTATTGGTTCTTTTGGTGATCAAGCAGACTTCAATAAAAAGAAACTTAAGGCACTTCTGTTCTGGCAGCCAACATAGAAAAGCAAATAAAATTACATTCTTGAGATGCACCTAGAGATCTTCAGCAGAGACTTTTTCATATTCGTTTAATATTGTCCACCTTGTATGATTATCACAGAAAGCAAGAACACTTGAGAACCAAAGAGACTATTTTATTGTGATATGGATTCCCTTTTTAATATGTTTGAATATTTTATAAGGTTTTTTAAAAAATAAATATTCAATGGTGAAACAAGTAGTGCAGCATTTCTAGTAACACAGCTGTTTCACACAGCCTTTTTTGCAGACCCTTGGGATGATACATAGAGAAAAACTTTGTTTTAATCTTTAAATGAGAGAGTAATCTCGGTTTAGAGCAAGTATATGTACAGACCACACCTAGAAACACACTAGCTTGGCACAATTTTCCTCTTGTCACAAAAGCATTTTTTAAAGATTTCTCACTAGAAAACAATTGCATCACTTTGCATACAAATGCAGGATTCTGCCTTCCCAGTTCAGTAGATGGGTCTGAGAAACAGCCTCGTACACGAGGGAAAAACGCCTCACAATGGTAGGATGTTGTCAGCTACAGAACTGTGGATTGGAAGGGCCAAATAAATCTTTACATTTTGTCATTTAATACTCTCAGCTCACCTTGGATTGCTTTAGTGCTGGTTTGATGGTCTCCTGACCTGTGTTCCCTCCTTCCACAGCCTTGATGCAGCAGTAGCCACAAAATGGTTGGATGACAAACCTCACTGGTTAGTATCTGCAGTAGCTTTAGCTAGTCTGAAGAACAGTAAATCTCTTTTAAAAAAAAATAATGAAGAGAAAGGATTTTTTACGTGAGTAAAACTGACCTGACTGCTGTAAAAGCCAATCAACATTTGTCTCCAGGCTGCTGAGCAGTGAGTGCTGGTTCATGAGCTGGCTGCATGGTCTCCACAGTCCCCTGCAGCTTGGGCAGGGCAGCCTTGCCCTCCCCACAGGACACCTGGCAGTGACACCAGCTCTAAATTCTCTGTAAGGTACATTAAACAAACCGAGTTAATACAAAACAGGGAAAAACTATTCCTATGTCTATTTCAAGTGCCCTGCATGTTCCTCTTTCTAAAGGAATGCATTAAAAAAAAAACCCAAAAAACCTGAACTAATTCTGACATCAAATAGTAATAAAATTATTCTGTTTTGTTCAACTCTGATACGAACAAAATTTGGACATATTTGAACAGGTTTGAATAATAAAGGTTTGTAGTAATTCTGGTGTAGGATTTACCTGTTTTTTTGCACTCAGCTGATAATCCACGTTGCTCCCTCCACTGAAACTGTCCCGACAATCAAGACTCAGCCCTGGA